TATGCCGGGTGTAGTGACCAGACGGGTCGTTACACTTTATTGGTATCAGAGCAGTTCGAGCCTAGTGGACGCTCTTTGGGGGTGGTCCCTTTAGGCTTTTTGCTGTGTTAGCTCTGTGCTGTGTTGTTTTGCTGTGATGTCTGCTGTGCTGAACATTACATTATATCATTCCTGGAATAAGTTAATGTAGTAGCATCCCACTTTTAATTCAAAAGTTTGGTGTAGGTAAATATTACCTTAGACACTCCAAGTATGTCTTCCAGTCTCCATTTGGGTTGAAAGCCTAATCCTAAAATTACAATTCCCATTTCCTCTGCTACAGCTTTAGCCTATCAAGCAAGGCTTACTATATCTGTCACATGACATGTTCATAAATTGTTGTGTGGTTCTCAGCCTCATAGCTAAAACTGCCTTCAAAATGAAGATTTTGCGGTCCATGATATGGTAACAATAAGTAACGCATTGCACGTTACAACAATAAAATAAAATAAAAACTACGAATTACACTATCTATCAATGAACATTATATCATTCCTGGAATAAGTTAATGTAGTAGCATCCCACTTTTAATTCAAAAGTTTGGTGTAGGTAAATATTACCTTAGACACTCCAAGTATGTCTTCCAGTCTCCATTTGGGTTGAAAGCCTAATCCTAAAATTACAATTCCCATTTCCTCTGCTACAGCTTTAGCCTATCAAGCAAGGCTTACTATATCTGTCACATGACATGTTCATAAATTGTTGTGTGGTTCTCAGCCTCATAGCTAAAACTGCCTTCAAAATGAAGATTTTGCGGTCCATGATATGGTAACAATAAGTAACGCATTGCACGTTACAACAATAAAATAAAATAAAAACTACGAATTACACTATCTAATGATTCTTTTCATGCCAAAAATTGGACATACTAAACTGATAGAGATGTGAATTAAGTAAAAATTAAGCTGGATTAAACATACCGTAGAAGTCACCACAAAAAATTGATGTTAGTTAATTTAAATTCTACTTCTCTCAAACACAGACAAATGGTAATGAAATTTTTTGATTGCATCTGTGCAAGACTTGAGAGATTTTACTATTCTATTCAACTTAAGAATATGAATTCCTTACTATCATCCAATCAAGGGCTCAATTGTGATTACACCTTGTAGGGAGAATCAGAAAAGGAATAAAAAAAAAAAAAAAAAGACGGCCAAGCTGTTGTTGGTCAATGGTCATAGAGAAAAACTAAAATTACAAAAAAAAATGATATTCGTACAGGAGTACAAGACTCCTTTGTCAGAGCATCAAACACAGTAAAAACAAACTGGCTTGAATGAGTAATCACCAAAGAACCCATAAAGCCTGCAGACATCATGTGAAAACAAATACAATTCATTTTAATATATACAGGAAAACTCGCTGCTTACAAAAAAAATGGGATTGTTAGATTTGCAATTTGACTTTTCTCATGCTCGTTGCTCTGAGCAATTTCCTTTAAACTAGTCCAAGATTTTCTTCGTCTTTTGCTAGATGCACTTGTAGAATTTGCTACTTCTTTTGCAGACATGTTTGTCGTTTTAATTGCGTTCTTGGGCAAGGAACTATCTCTCCTTCTCTTCTTTCCTTCTAACGAACTCTTCTGATTCTGATGCAAACAAAAATGGCACTTGTACACTACGTTGTTTTGAGTGATGTTATCAGTCTTCTTGCGCTTGTGCCTGACCTTCGATTTATTCTTCTCAATTCGTACAGTTGAATTAAAGCCAGGTTGAAGAACAGTTTCACATCTGTAGAGCAGTCAATGATGATCAGGGTTGATATTCAAGCAATGCCTGGGTTGCCTCTTATTAGGGAGATGGAGTTCAGCATTAACTTGGTTCCATGTGCGGGACCAGTGTCAGTAGCCCCCTATAGGATGGCTCCTGCTGAGCTGGCTGAGCTGAAAGGTCAGTTGGAGGACTTATTGGAAAAGCAGGTGGTGCGACCGAGTGTTTCGCCGTGGGGTTCCCCTAACGACTCATTCTAGGCTACTAAATCACCCTTATTTGGGCTTCGAGCCTTCATATAATTTGTGAAAATCGGGGTGTTACAACTGAAATCATCAAAAATGAGGTATAAAACTTATATTATGATCAAATTAGTGAGTAAAGGTCAAGCTGTCATAATTAGGTCTAAATACTGCAATTTTGTAACTTTTAAAAATAGTAGATGGTAAAATAAACACTTGAGGTCAACATAGAAGTTGTAGATAATTATATGAATTTTTTAATAAAATTAAAATTAACTTGATAACATAGGTACAATTGTAAATAATCAGAAATTTTGGACCCTTTTGCTTGAAGCTGAGACTAAAACATGACAGCTCCAAATACTTGTGTTTGAAAGAACTAAAGGTGCAGAAAGACCACCACAGAATATGCCATTGACAATATTGTTTGCAGCTGCAGCCTTTTCACCAGGTTTTGAAGCATAGTAATTCCTTGATCTAGTCCATCTCCTGGAAAATGGATCATAACCTGCCTCCCCTTCTTTCAAACCTGTATTCACCGGCTTCAATTCAGAAGCATTCTTGAAGTTCTCAAACCTGTTTTTCCTATTCATCTCAGCCAGCTTCAATGCCTTGGCATCCTTCTGCTTTGCTTGTCTGCATGCGTCTAATTCTAGCAGTCTTGTCTTGAGCCTCTCCATTTCTGCATCATCATGCTTACTTTATGCTATTTCCAATTCCCTCCTCAGCCAATCCTTCTCAGTAGCAAGTTTAGTGGTCTTATTGAGGCAGACTTTTTCTCTTGTAACATGTGCTTCACAGTAGCTGCTGAGTAGACAAATGTGATGGCTTTTTGACTTTTTAATATATACAGGAAAACTAGCTGCTTATAAAAAGAAATGGGATTGTTAGATTTGCGATTTGACTTTTCTCATGCTCGTTGCTTTGAGCAATTTCCTTTAAACTAGTCCAAGATTTTCTTCATCTTTTGCTAGATGCATTCGCAGAATTTTCTACTTCTTTTGCAGACATGTTTGTAGTTTTAATAGCGTTCTTGGACAAGGAACTATCTCTCCTTCTCTTCTTTCCTTTTAACAAAGTTGTTGTATTTGTACTTGATGGAGTAGCTAGATAGTCCATAAGAGTGAGATCCTTACAGTTCATCTCATTCACTTCATCTTTACTTACAGTTCCTTTCTCTAATTTAATCTTACAAGATTCACTTGTAATGTATTTTGATGAAGGTGTTGACTCTAACAACGATTTATCTTTTGATGGACAAATTCCTTTTACGTGTCCCTTAGGGGTCCCTGACTCTTCCGATTCTGATGCAAACAAAAATGACACTTGTACACTACGTTGTTTTGAGTGATGTTATCAGTCTTCTTGCGCTTGTGCCTGACCTTCGATTTATTCTTCTCAATTCGAACAGTTAAATTAAAGCCAGGTTGAAGAACAGTTTCACATCTGTAGAGCAGTCAATGATGACCAGGGTTGATATTCAAGCAAACCCAAATAAATGCAACTTAAAAAATTTGGAGCTATGTCATGTTTGCTTCAAACAAATTACATTAATTCTTCAACAAAATACCATATGGATATGGTAAATAAGCACAACACCTATAAACTAAACCATATTGAAACCTTTGTAGAAAAGAATGGCATACAGAAGTACAAGAAAACACTGCTTCAACCATCACCTAGTTTCACAAATTGGATTGTTAATTTGAAACTTGAAGCATACAACAAATAATATAGAACAGTGTTACTACTCTCTAATTAAAATTGGTAATATAAAATATAATAGTGGTCAACAAAGCATCAATTTTACCTACAAAGATGACAAGTGTGCTATGCCGGGTGTAGTGACCAGACGGGTCGTTACATAATTCAATTTTTATAAGCACTGGATGGTCAAACAATCAATGTAATCTATTAATATTAATGATAGTTTTAAAAAATATATATAAATTTAAAATAAATTTTAATGATATAAACTAAATTAATTTTTAAAATTTAAGTCTCATTAAAAGAACATGAAAAAATATCGATTAAGATATTAAACTATTAGAATTGACATAGCATTTAATGATATGTATAATAAAGTTCTGAATTCTATATTGTCTACGCACACCAAAAAAAAAAAAAAAAAAACTTTGACAACATGAATTAGAGTAACCTTCAAGGTTCAAAGGTCAATATGAGAATTGGACTGACCAGAAATTAACAGAGAAAATTTCTTTCGTTTTTCTTGGGTTTGGGGGATGTGAATATGAACTCTTATTGCTAAAGGAGACACATTGAAACAACATTCACTTTTAACCAGATTGAATGTCTGCCACTAACATTAACATATGTAGTTAATTTATTAACAACGGTAGCGTTATACACATTTCCCAGAAAACAAAGACCCACAGATTGAAGAAGAAACATAGAATTCAAAAGTAACTATTATTGAAAATTGAAACTGATTCAATTCAATCCGTAGAATCCAGGAAACAAATTCAAGCATCCTCATTTCTGTCCAACTTTTGACACCACCACTCTTGCAAAAGTTGTAGTAATGAGCAAATAAGTGGGGTTCGGAGGGATGAAAACACAAACAGATAAAGGATGTAGCCGCAAATTGCAATATTAGTTTTGTATTTTTGTGATATCTTCTCAGGTAATCAAAATATTACTACTTTAATACTTTCTACGTACGTATGATTCATACAAGATTGATTGTCTTTGATTATTTATATATAAAAAGTATTACAGGATTATTTATACAACTTATACAATAATTTATGTAATAACACTTTTGACTTTAATTATTTCTATAATATTATTTAAGGAGAAAAAGGATTATGTATTAATAATGTAAAACAATTTTATATTATTATCAAATCATAACTAATTATTTAGAATAAGTTTATTGATTTTTATTATAATCTTCTTTAAAATCATACAAATAATAATTTTTATTATCGATATATAAAGTAAAATTTCTTAATTACATTAACAGTGCTATACCAGCTGGTGATTGTCTTTTTCATTCTCTATCAAGTAGAAAATGAAAAATAATTATAAAATAAAATATTTCAAATACTTTATCAAGGTCTATTGAGAAATAATAAAAACACATTATATCTTATTGATTGAAATTTATTAAACAATAAGGTTTGATGGATAATACACTTTATTATTTAATGAATCTCATGATTTTGTAGTTTTTAAAGAGAGTTAACCCATAAAAGAATTTGTATTATGAAAAGTAAGTTAGAAAGTATATTATTATTACTCTTCGATTTTTATGTTATCTTATCTTATATGATAAGAAAGAAAGAAATATTAAAAGACATTTAAGAAATAATAATAATAATAATAATAATTTTAAAA